GTGCGACTCCAGCTCTCTGAAGCTCAGGGCAATGCCACGCATTACCCACACTCACCTGTTCCCAAACGCATTTGAAAAGATGAAGGTCAACCTGGCCTTCCACCTCTTCAGCGAGGAGGTCGAAAAGGGTCTTCACCTCAACCAGGAGCAGATCCAACAGGCACGTGGGAACCACCAGGGGATCCTCCAGCTGCACAAGCACATGTCAACCTTAATCAGAGTGATGACTTCCCGCTGCCCCTACGATGCTTGGAGGTAATGGTACTATTGTTTTTATCAGCTAGCCATAACCCACACCCCTTATACAGTCCACCTGTGCCTATTTAGGCTGAAAAGATATTTTTTCTTCAACGTTTCATCTAGTGTATACTTCATAGGGGAAAATTTAGATAGAAAACAACTGCGTTCCCTTAGACGGTCTACACCTAATGCATAGCCCAGATATACAAAATGTGCGAACGAAAGCCAGGGGCTATTTGTTGCCTGTTCGTCGGGAGATCACACAGCGTCTCCTCAAGATTAAGCGTGATCCATATTTGCTGGCAGGGGCAGCTAACTTGTGCATTACCCATGACCAGACCGAGTACACCACACCGAAAGAAAGATGTCGTGTTACTGGCCATACACCATTCCATGTAAACGTTTCAGGGCACATTCATTGCTTGTATGTTCATTTCGCACGAGCCTTTTCTGACTGGCCGCAGTGGCGAGCACGCGCTGGCTGGACTGCGATGTTTCTAAACAGTAAAATCGTCTATAGTACCCAGCTGTAAACAGGGTGATCCAGAGAATAGGTGCATAGTCTGCACGAGAGATAGTTTACACAGGATAAAAAAATAAACTTTTCAGCATATATAGTCTGCAGACTGCAGCCCGAAAATTACCATACTTCAGTTTCCCAGAGCACCCTCAGAGCTTCTGAACTTTCTCGGTAGTCCCTACCCTCAGTAAAGCATTTTTTTTTCCTAATTGGAACACTATTTAGCATATCTAAACCACCCATTGATGCATACCTGGGTGCAAAATGTTCCCTGGTGTCTGTATTATTGTTACAAGGTCTCTAAGAGACTGTGCTGCCAGAATGCAGAAAGCGAGAGGGGTCTCCAGGCTGTCAATCAGGAGGGAGTAGGGTGCCTCAATGTCCTTCTGTTTAGGGGGATTCAACCCTTTGTACTACCCGATTCCGACAGCATGCACTCACGGGTAAAATACAAAGAAATCGACGAAAACAAAATGCAAAATTTCGCGGTAGTGCAGTCAGCGCCATGAACGCGTGCAGGGACATGCTCTTTCACACGCTTCTGGAAAGAAATAAAAATAAAAGTGTGGCACAAAATGACCAGATGTCTCCACCCTAAGCAAAGCACACATGAAGGCACCCTAGGAGGGAGGGGTGTTTCTTGGGATTTAAAAATTAAGAACCTGTACTAAAGCATTTTATTTTGCTTGTGACATGAGCCCAAGATGCTAATTTCTGTCCAGGCCCGGATCCGAACAGGCAAAGCATATTGACGACTTCCTTGCCTACCTGGACGAGTGGGAACGTGGAGCAAAAGACGGAGGCTTTGTGAGCCAAAGCACGGCTGAAGGCCTCCGGGTGACTCTCCAGAGCACCAAGAGCCTCCTTCGGTACCTGGTGATTCTTGGGTATCGCTACATGATGACAGGAAGACTCAGCCAAGACTGCATTGAAAGGTTCTTCGGAATAATCCGTCAGAGCCTAGGGCCAAACGACCATCCTACCCTAGCGCACTTCCTGATTTTATACAACTGCCTAAGTTTTTACAACCTGGCAAAGTCACCGGCTGGAGGGAGCATCTCTGAGGGAGTGCTGAATTCCTCGCTATCTGCAGAGGATGCCGGAAAGACGGCAAGGGACCAACTCGGCGCTTTGCTCGAAGCTGGCAAGCTGGACGAGGTGGAAGAAGTCCTCATAGAGGACGACCATGCCAGCTGTTTTGAGGAGACCAGCGACTCTCGGCTGGTTACGCAGCTCGCAAGTGCATCACCAAGAAAGGGGGATGTGGAGACTGCAAGGCCGCCTGTCTCAGAGAGTCCACACCGAGAGCTGCAGACCACGCTGCCTCATACGTGCGCTCGTTTGACAGGGGTGGACTCCTCTATGCAACAGACGGGCTCTTTGGGCTCATCAGCCACCTCAAAAACGTGTTCACAAGGTGCTTTAGCAAGCGCAAACTGCATGCAAATAACATTGTTAATATTTTTAGCTGTGTTGGGGGCAACGTTCCTGGTGTTGGGTGTGATGAGCACAAAATGGAGTTGACAAACAGCATCACACGTTTCTACCTTATCACACGCCTGCACTTCTGTGTGAAGCAAACAAACAAGCTGCGAAATGAGCGTAAGCAAAAACAGCAGCTCTCAAAGAGGGGCAGGTTGCTCTAAAATGTTTGCATCTAGGTGCATTATTTTTCTGACTACAGTTCACCACAGCCCATTTCAGCTATCTTTTTTGTCCCTGGAGCTGACCTTTGTTATGACCTTCGGGGTTACAGTCATTATTTTACGGGGTTTCAATTCATCACCTTAATTTGCATGTGGTACAAGTGCAAAAAGAACGGTAGAGACTGGAAAAGTAACAATGTTTGCAAGTGATTGAGAAATGCAATATGCAAGTGCAATGATTTTATACTTCAAACTTTATATGAAAAAGATAAGCGTTACTTTTGACCGAACATTGGTATGCTATGTATTAGTTTTGACTTGTAAATATGTTCACTCTTTTTCTATCAATTTCATACTTCGTCACTAAGTTTGCACTTGGAATAAAAATGTGCGCAGTACCGCGAACCTGTTCTTCGCTCTAAGCCATGGCAAATTTTCGCGTTGCTTTCAGCCGTCCAAGTCCGCGCTTTAACCGCAGAGAAATCGCACCACGATTGACCAATTCCTTTCATATATATTTTCATGTTGAAGTACACATGCGGTTCAGCGTTGATCCATTTGAGAGACGATACTGATGCACTTTACTCGGGACAGCGGCTTGAAACGCGAAATTTCGTCACGGCTCCCTATAACCTCTAAGACGTTTAGCATGTCTAGAAAATGTAGCACACGACAGCAACTAAAATATACTCCAAGCTTTTTACAATACCTTGTCATCGTCATCTCGGGGACTTCTTCCTCGGACAAATACGCCAACGCCGTGGTGAGGCAAGAAAGGCTTAAAATCCGCATTTTCCCGCTGTGACGTTCCGAAATGAGGTCGACTGTTGGGATCTAGGTACATTAAACTAATAATACGCCAGAATTATTAGTTCCGTAACGACAGACAACCGAAAACTTAGAGAAAAACAATCCCCACACAGCCTACGTCGACGCTCGTCGCAGCCATTTGCAGCAATCGGCTAGCATATAGGGCTACTGAAGCACCTCCTGGCGACAGATTTCCGTTTCGGTGCCGCGCGCCCGCCGCCGCTCGACACACCCAACTCTCTAGCCACCATACCGAGACAAAGTATAGAGTACTCTGTGAATTGGCATGGATTCCCGTAAACTTGGCTGTGGGTTCCTTGGTGTTTTTGAGGGTGTTTTTGAGCCACTGTTTGTAAACTGCCGAATTGAGGCTGGTTCACACACCTGCAACTGCTTATGACCTAATGCCTTACAACCTCTTGTGATCTCCTACGACAAGAGAACACACTGGCACAATCTATCGGGTAGCTGTAGAACACTTACGACTTACATATACCGTATTAACTCGCATAATGAACACACTTGCGTAATGAACGCACCTCCAATTTTCGGCTCCACGAGTCTTGAACTGCGTCCAACTCGGCCAGCCACCGAGCCCACCGAACCAATTTCTTTTGCCGCCAAGGGGCCGGGCCAAGAAAAGCCATATGTAGCAGTGCACGCGTGTGAATGACTGCAAGCGCATAGTTCTGGAAGCGATCAACTGCAAAACAGAGCGGCGCGCACACCTAACAAAGCTGTGGTCAAGGAATTTCGCAGCTCCGGACACGTTTTGCCCGTCGGATGTGCCGCCATCAACAAACGTGCCATCGTCCGTGGTCCGCTTTCGAATGGTGAAATCGTGCAAGCGGTTAGGTCTAAGAATGGCCACTTTGCTCTCTTTGCTGAGCTAACTTTGTATGGCGCTTTTCCTTCGTCCAGAGGCACGCCGAAAGTGCCCCGAAAAAGGTTTGCAATTTGTGGAGCACGTTTACTGCGGCACACCCTCAACCGGCCGTGGGTGTGCCTCCGTCAGCGGAGACGTGCCACAGTACCCTGTTGTGTCATATAGACCAGTGTCTGCTCTGTACCATGGGCGCCGCCATGTTTGTTCATGCTGATGCCATGGCACAGTGGGGGGCTGCTCTTTTTTGGAGCGCTCCATTTTTTAGAAACCTTCGCACATATCGAAGAACATCGAAAATGCATGGTCACGAAGCTCCAAGAACAACACCAATGCCTAGAGTGCTGTAAAAATAAAAAAGATCTTGTTTTATGCACAGCCCCTCTCTTCACAAGAGCCTGCATTTGGGAATATTATTTCCCATTTTTGTCACAGGAGGCCAGGATTTCAGACAGCTAAGGCAGCTAAAACAACATTTGTGCAAAGTGCGTAAATGCAAAAATTTTACCCTGCGTAATGATTGCACCCTCCAAATACTATGTGTCAATTTTTCGGGAAAATAGCGCATTCATTATGTGGGTAAATACAGCGTTTTATTCCTTTTTATTGGCTCAAAAAACTTTTAACGATGTTATGAATGACCATTTCTCATAGGTGGTACATACATTTGATCTCGTAAATACGACAAAGCCTTCGCTCCAGTAAAATCTGGTTCCAGAGCCACCTTGTACAAGGCGCCAGCCAGCCAAAACTTGGTTGCATGCGGACGCAAGCGTGTGAATCAGCCTTTGCGTGGCACCACGATTCCGGCTGCAAAGATTCCGCGGCACGGGCCTCCCGTCCATGGCGTCTCTGGGCCGCCCAGTGCGGGCGTGATTTTGAAGGCGCGTCATTCCCCCAGGTGGCGGGAGCGCAGCCGGGGCCGCTTTCCTGGATCGACTACGGACGGGCGGACGTGTGGGCAGTGGGGGCGCTCTGCTACCCACTGTGGGGGCTGCCCCTCCCCTTTGGGGGAGGGGTCCTGGATAGCCGCAGCTACCGGGAGCAGGACCTGCCACCCCTGCCCAAAGACGTGCCGCCGGCCGTCAGGGCGCTCGTCAGGGACATGCTGCATAGGGACCCCCAGCAGGTGAGGCCCACCTCATCGTGCGGAGGCTTACGGCTTCAAATCTAGACGATTTTCATTTTTGACAGCGCTGGGGTCAAATTTAGCAGTTTTTAAACTTGACGCCGATACTTTTAAAGACAAGATGTTGTTAGAACCTAACCGATTTGCCGCCAGACTGGGTGTGTTTGTACCATTTGAGCATGGGGCCCCTCTGCTGCTAAGCTGTTATCACTACTTTGTGTCGCAAAAATGTGGCATTTTCTTCGTGCGATGTGCGCTTCTCTGAGGGATTATAGTGTGAATACTTCTTTTACTGCCCTCCACCTTCGAAACTGAGCAGTCTATTCTAGGCCAGCTCATCTGCATCCAGTTGTATTTTTCAGCTGTTGCTGTTCTCAACCGGAACTGTCTGGTGTTCTCATAAGCATTAAAGCAGGTAGTGAATGCTCAGTTATACTTGTCCCAACTAGTCGGGCATTTCTGAAAAATATGGCAAAAATGTTCCAAAAAACGGGAGAATTCGCGATTAAAATGAGTCACGACATCTCAAGCAGAGTTAACGTCACGGACGAATGGGATGTCCCAGACGAAGGTAATTGTCTTCTCACTGGGAACGAGGCATTCTTTCAGAAAAACGGATATAATGCCCTTTATTCCCATACAGAAATAAAATATTTGCCCTTGCAGGTCACCCCCCTTGCCCCCTCCCCCCCTCTCTCCCCTTAAAGGCCGACGACCAGACTCGAGATTCTGCAAGGCAGAAGATCCTCCTCGCCATAAGAGAGGAGGAAAAGGCAATGGTGGGCAGGTAGAAAGAGGAAGGGGAGGAAACAAGGGAAAAGTGGAAAGCGCGAACTGGTCGTCGGCCTTTAAATTGGCCACTGTTGAGAACCCACGATACAGTGGAAAGGCAAACAGAGTTGCCCTTCAAGTTGGTCACCAGCTTCTGACACTCCCCTTTCATGTGCAGCGTCCCAGCGCAGCCTTTGCGGCTACGGTGTGCCAGCTCCTGCTGTGGGGTCCTCCCAGGCTGCTGCTGCCAGGTAACAGAAGAAGTGCCCGTCTGCTGGTGCGCTGGCTATGCAACTCTCTGGGCCGCCTGGTGCGTGGCAAGGCCAACCCACTGGTGGGAAGCCTGCTGGCCAGGGCCAGTCTGGCAACCCTCCGGGAAGCCCTCCAGTACCTGCACCAGGCTGCCGCAGAGTACGGCGGCAAAGCGCTCTGCTAACCAACGACTCGTTATACGCCGGACCGACGGACGGGGGCGAGCACTGACGTTGTAGGGTTGCCCTTTTCAGAGATGCTTCGGGGGATGGAGGTGAAGCCACCATGTTGACGTCATAACTCGAATATATAAATAGAGAGTTAGTGGAAAAAAAAAACGAGCCTGTTTCTATTTGACAATGTGCTTTAGACAACGTTACTAGAATAGAGCCATAGAGCCTGCTTTGAAAAAGGTGGCTCACCTCCATACTCGAAAACCGAACTAAAGGCGATCGCAACGCGGCCATTTCTCCCGCAGCGGCCACTCGGGGGAACTGCATGGCTGCACGCATAGGCGTAGACTACGGGGGCGCATCAGGCCATGATCCTTACCGAGACGCTGTTTACATGGCATGTAACGAGCTTCTAGTAGTTGACCTGATATTCTTCAGCCGCAGGCTTTATTTTCATGTATTAAAGAGAAAAGACCCATGGCCGAGTGGATTGTTGCTTCAGAAGCACAGGGGCCTGGGTTCTAACACCACAACTTCGTAGCTGGCACAAGCATTTTGTTTTTCAAATTTGTGCTCGCCGGTGCATTTGCTGTGGTACCGGCAATGAACACACAGCTACGCTTGTACGGTGATTGACATTGACACACAGCGATGGACACGTGGCGATACACATACGCTGTAAAATGTAGCCCCTAAAGTAGACTACTGATAATTGCCAATGTCAAAAAAATTGCGCGAAAAAACAACCCCCCCCCCCCCCCCCTCCCCCCGGGAAATACGAAAGTCTGCGCTGCTGGCTGCACATACTGGTTCGGGTCAAGTTGCGCAAAGGCCGGTGGCGTCATCTCACAGTGCCATTTTGCAGCAGCTATATAAATCAACTTTTATGTTTTGACTCGTCACTAAAGGGGGGCGCTGTTATCATATTTAGTTTGATCTCTGTGGACACAAGCGGTCCAGGTTCCAAGGGTGAGTTTCCCAACTGAACGTTTTAATAACATTGGCCTTAGAGTAGCGACCTTCACCGTACTCCTCTGAGGGCTTCGGCCGACCAGGAGCCCTAAACTCGTCAGACACAAAGTTGGAGCCGAAAGTTCGCGGAGCGCGCTGATTGGACGTCCGCGACAAAAACGCGAAGTCATCGTCGTGGTTGTCCAATCGGTGCGCTCCGTCAACTTCGGCCCGAACTTTGTGTTTGACGAGTTTAGGGCCCCTGAAGAGATTGAACTTCGCCATCCCCGAATTTAAGAGATAATGTAGAAAATAGGCAGATTTTACCACAACAGAAATATGAAAGCCTTCTGCAAACGTCACGGTGATTGGTCTTTGAAGACCATTACTTTCTTTCGAACACACTGTCCAGGCGAGCTGCCTTCAAGCTACCATTAGCACGTCTGAGTCGGAAAAGCTACAGATTTTACCAACTTCGAAAACCTTTTGCTGCCATTTCCAAGAATTCATTCAAGAGGCAAAAGGAGAGGGGCTAGCGTTATTTTGAACAATCTCAATGTTCTTAGCTGCCACTCCGATCTCCCCTGCGTTTGGACATAGAAAAAATGTTTGGCTTAGACAAAAGTGGTCAAGCCTACACCCTATTGCCACACTGTATGGCAAAGAGCGATTGAATTTGATTCCCAGGATTTATAAGTAGAGTTTGTCTCTGTATGGTGTCTGAACTGACCAAGTCTTGCTTGCCCTCAACCTTATCGGATACATCACATGCAGTGCAACGAAAATGGTAAGGCTTTTTATATTGCCCTTAACTTATATAGTACTTGTTTTTCTGGTTATATGTTAAAACTACCGAGTCGGGCTTAAATGGTACTCGGACATAATTTGTTTAAATATTCGAACTTATTTCGTAGGCCTTATTGTTCCACGCATTCTGGTGTACAAGCTTTTTGGCAAATGTTTTGTCACATCCCAGGCGAAAATTTTCAACTGGGACCAATTGGTCCCAGTTGCAACTGGTTTATGGAACAATTCCCAGTTGCAACTGGTCCCAGTTGGAGTCGTCCAACTGGTCCCAGTTGGAGTTGGTCCCAGCTGGAATTGGTCCCAGTTACAACTGGTCCCAGTTACGGCTGGTACCAACTCCAGCAACAATGAAACACTGCACAAAATGGAAGGTTGACAAGACTTTATTGTCAAAAACTTGAAGAATGAAACTAAACAATAGGTTCGGTGACATACACGCTCCGAGTTTTGCCACTTGCTTGCGACGGTTAGATCGCTTTTTCAGAGGTGGTATCCATGACATGAAGGAAGATCGGCCGCTGGCGTCTGTTAGTGAAGACGTCCTCAGCTTCTCTTCCCATCGCGTGAAGAAAGGTTCTCACCCGTGATCCCGCGTTGTGCCGGTGAAGTCCTGATAAGATGCGGTAGCGCTCCCACCTTGCAATCTCTGTCACAACACTCGAACATTTTCGAGGTAGACCTCCCGCCATTTTCACCATTGTGCTCCCCGCGGCGTTTTCTCTTCCGTCCGGTCTTTCCTGGCTGCCCTCCGATCGCTGAACTGCATCTTTCCATCCTCGCAGTTCACCGCCGCCACCATGGTGTGTGTACAGTTAGGTCCAAAGAAGCGCAGCTGTAGTTTTGACATTTTTATAACGACGCCAACTTCGGCGATGGCGACCCTCCGGGACCACAGCTATACTATTACTTGTAAATTGCCAATGTCCCGCCTATCCATCCATTTTTAAACTTGCTCCAACAAATTGACTGGTGAAATTTTCACCTATCAATAAATGTCTTCAACAACAACAACAACCCTCCTCTACCGCGTCCCACCGACTCCGGATGGATGGATGGATGGATGGATGGATGAATACGGCTGAGCCCTTTGGATCGGGCGGTAGCTTACGCCACCTAGCCATTCATTCGGATGGATGGATGGATGAATACGGCTGAGCCCTTTGGATCGGGCGGTAGCTTACGCCACCTAGCCATTTTGTTTTACCATTTAAGCTTAGAATATTTAAATGTGAAATCTATATTCACTTCGCAGTGCAAAGAAAGTGAGGCTATGAAACCCCCTTGCCATCAGTGAATAAGAAAATACCTAGTTTTCTCTCGATTTCTGCCACCATTCACTTAATCTTTGCTTGGTAATCTCTACAGTCTTGAAATCCACTCTCCCTTCGCTGTCTCTAAAACCCAATGGGCGCGTTAAGTTAGTGAGCTCCAGACTCCGGACATCTGCGCTCGAGCGCGCGGGTTCGGAGCGTAGCTTAACGGCGCACTTTGGTACCGAGGCGCCATCTGACGCCTGCTTTTTTAACGTTTCCGGTTCCGGCTTTCCGGCGCGCGCTTGAACATGGCTCCCGTCCCGTCGAAACATCGAAAAAGTGTTTGGTCGACGACGACTTCGATGAAATAAGTGCGCGGAGACGGCGGCAATAGCGAGAGCTTGTATTTATGCTGCACGCTGTTGGTGCGGCGATTAAAGGTACGCCGAACGCCTTCTGAATTACCAAAAGCCTTAAAGAATGACATGAAGAACTTCGACAAGCACTTGAAGGATGTATGCATACCTTTCTACACCAGCACCATGCTTTTTTTTATTTTCCACGATGACGGAACGACTACACGAGCTGCCAAGCGATCGCCGTCGCCACGCATCCAAGCAGGCGCGACTTGCGCGTCCGACGGAGTCCCTAAAGACTTCGGCGCAAGTACGAACGACGCCGAGAGCTCCGAGCACTGCATCGTAGCGCAGAACGAGCAGCTCCTACCCACGACCGGCCTACCTCGGTGCCGTTCCTGGCTAGGCCGGAGCCTCTCGGCCGCGGGGTTCGGTTGGTGCGGTCGCGGTCGGCGAAGTTTGGCGAGGCCACGGCGAGGCGAGCGCGGTGGCATCATCGGAGCGTTCGGAAGCGAACTCGCTCGCCACGGATTGCGCACACCCGACGCCTCTGGTCCAGAGTGGCCCGGCGGCCCGGTCCGGAGTGTCCGGAGCCCAAAACGCGAGGGTTTTGATGATTCTTCCGTCTCGTGCGAGACCACCGTACCACCGTGTGAAACCGGTGAAACCACGACTAGAGCACTATATAGCTCCTACGGAGCAGAGTAGCGCAATCCTTTGAACCCCGTGTTTCGCCGACAACATGGCCGACAGAGCAGCTAGGCGCGAGTCACGTGGTACTCAGGGTTCCAAGAGGCGGCCCGCCCTATGGGAGAATACATGGAGATCGACATAACACGGCTGATTAAAAAAATAACGGCGAGTTCACACTTTTCAAAACTAGCCTGTCGTGAAGTTAGTAAGGCGCTAAACACTTTATAAAATTTTTAATAATATCGGATGCGTGTGCAAATTTTGAGAAGGCAATTTTCAGGGCAATGGCGTTTGAAGCAGACGATTTTTGCTCGCAGCGGAGATGGGCTTTTCGGGTTGGCCGGAGCGGGTCACGTGAATGGTGTGACGTCGCCGTGTCGTCTGCTGCATGATGCCGCTCAGGCAATTTTTTTAAAAAAGTTACGTCCTTGCATGGCACAAAACTTATCGCAAATTATTCTAAAATGTTTCATTATTATGTCAAAAATGATTGCCATTCCGTACATCCCCACAAAACTGAAGAAACAACGATTTTCTCACGTTCTCCATGCATTTCTGACCGCAGTTGGAACCTCCGGGCGTTCGCCGCTAGTCGCCGAGAGACGGCGTTCTAGATTGCGCTACTCTGCTCCGAAGGAGCTATATAGTGCTCTAACCACGACCACCGTGCAAAATCACCGCGAGTAACCGCGAGACTGGCCGCGAGAGCGGAAACGCCGTCATCTCACCGGAAACCGACCTGTTCGCGCTCCCGCCAGTGTTGCCAGATGAAGAAAAAAAAAGTCAGCAGAATGATCCCCAAAAAGTCAGTAGATTTGCACAAAAATCAGTAGATTCTACGAAATATGTGTTTTGCCATGTTTTGCTATTTCCATTAATACACATTTCGAAGAAATAGTGTAGAGTAACATAGAACGTAGTAATAAACACAAATAAAAATGAAAAAAACAAAACAAGACCGGTTCTGGAGTAATTGTTTGTGAAGGACAAATTAAAAGGGGACCATAAATGTTTCGTTTTTTTATTAATCATTATTGACTATTTCGAGGATTATTCTTTGAAATCGAGACTGAGCTTCTTTTGGCATCAACAGATGAGGGCGACAGTGCGACATCCACCTGTCGCTATTATTGAAACGATTGAAACGAAACCAAAACAAGACGTTCCGTCAAGTGCGCGCGTACATGTCCAATGGAAGTCCGCTGCAAGCTGCCATCTTTCCTTACTGGGCTGTGGAAGGTTTTTGAAGCAACGCTGTTGGCGCGGAGCACTGTTGAGGCTACGCGTCGTCTGCTACGGGCTTGTTTCTTTTTCGCCTGACACAAAGTTTGCGTTCAAACGTGGAGAACTTCATTCGTTAGCTTTTTAAGCCACCGAGGAATAAGATTGTATAATTGTCTTGCCACAACCTGCCAAATAG